TGCCAAGAGTTCGAGAGCTGTTCCCGAGCCATACAGAGCCCCTCGCCCACGATTTCCACGCCTTGATCAGCAAAGGTATTTCTCATCTCCTCCTCATCCTTTACCTTCTTCAATTACTACTTCCATATCTTTGAAGAAGGATTTACAGGTAAACGAGCCAAGAGATTCTCGCGTGCTTGTTTCTTCTGTTGTTGATGCAGGACAAGGGACACAGGACGCTGCTGTTTCCACTACCTTCCTTGGACATGAGCACACCTCCACCACTTACACTCCACCATGGTTAGCAAGGCGTCGCGCTTCTGAGAAGTCTTCAAACACTTCTCCTGCTCCACCTCACTCCTGAATCCCGACATAGTCAAGCTAATGACTGAAAATAAGCGCTTAGTGGGAGGCAACCCACTGGTATGTTTTTCTTTTCTTTTATTTTACTTTATTTATTTTATTTTATTTTATTTTTCTTTCTTTTTCGCTAACTCCGGTTTGAATGCCACTGGGGACAGTGTCGTTTAAGTCTGGGGAAGGCAGTTACTAATTATGTTTTTCTTTCTTTTGAGTCTTATTTTTCTTTTTCTTTTGAGTCTTTTTATTGAGTCAAAATTTTGTTGGAAATTATGATCTTTTTCTCTAGATTATTGCCTGGTTAGTTTAATGCTGCAGATTCAAATCAATCCGACTAATGGAAAATCCAGAGAGTTAATCGATAGACCAAAGGACATCCACGTTTCCAACACAATCCGCTAAAGCTTGAGCAAAGTTCATGTTCTTCACCTCGTCAATACGGTTAGTATTTGTAGAACTTGACTCCTCGTTCATACCTGATAAATGAGACCAATGTGGAAAAAGAATGGTACTCCTCTCCCTTATTCTAAAAAAAAAAAAACAAAATAAAAAAGATTGAGATGATTTTCTTTTGGAGTAAAGAGATAGGAAAATTTCCCGTGATCTCATTATTTTACTTCAAGAGGAGTGATCACACGAAGGTTGGAAGCGAGGTTAGGAAAATTTCCGATGATACCATTATTCGCTTACACCTTTAAAGGTAAAAAAAAAAATGGTTTGGGAAAAAAAAAAAGAATAAGTTTGGGGGAGAGAAAGAGTACCTAAATATGTTGTAATGGTTGATTTGTCATGGTATAGTACGGGAATGAGTCTAGAAGGTTCTTGAGTACTAATTTTATTGATGAGATTTATGCGATGAGGGCTATAGGATATAGTTGTGGAATTTGGTTTGGAATTTGGAATGTTGAGAATGCTTGCGGAGAATTACATGGTGGTTAGGATTTGATGCGATCTGCTAGGCATTTGGATTTGGTTTGAATGATCAAGGTAATAGGCTAGAGAAATTGGGAGTTTTTATGTTTTCAAACTTCTTCCACGGGTTCGGTTTTTGTGTTTTGCTTGAGGGCAAGCAAAAGCTAAGTCTGGGGGAGTTGATATAACACGGATTTTACTAGTTTTAACCGTGATTTATGTGTTAGTTTTAGAGTCTTTTTGTTGTTTCCAGTGTCTTTCTGAGTCTTTTCAGGTTTTTACATGTTCGGGACGAAATTGGAGAAAAAGAATCATTCTGGAGATAAACCGAGGATTTGGAGCTGAAGAGACGAATCCGGTTCGAACCAAGGTATGAGTGTCGACCGACATCCTTGGTGTCGCTCGACACCGTACACGGCCCATCAAGAAATCTTGACGGTTTGGAGTTTTAAAGCCCGCAGAATTTACCCAGAAGACTTCCCTATTTGCAATTTTAGTCCCTGCACGTTTTTGAGACCTTCTTTATAGTTTTTAGGGTTTTTCTATTTCATTATCTTGTCTTTTGCTTCTGTAAGTCTCTGTGCTTGAACCCTTTGGAATATAATTGGAGAGAGCAACTTTTCAGAGATTCAATACCTTGTTAGAGAGAAGATTTATTCTAAACTCTTTTCTTCTTTTAATTTCTTATTCTACAATTTATTCAACATGTTTTCTGTTTCATTCATCATGTCTAAGTAATCTTCCTGTTAGGTTTAGGGATTCTCATTAGGGATTTAGATGAACTAGTAAATTAATTATCTGTTAAGATTAATCCATAGAGTTCTTCATCTAGGTTGTTCTTAATGCTTGTTCTAGAGTAGCTAACTAGAACCTGATATTAAGATAATAGGTATTTGATCCGAGAGGGCACCTGTTACTGGAACTACTTTAGATGAGCCTGGTTTATAGGTGTGTAATAAGAATCGGCCTATCTACTAAGGTGAACTTATCAAACCTGTATTTAATGCTAGTCTAGATCTATGAATTCGCATTGAGAGGTGGAATTACTGATATTAGGCTTGTTAGTTATTGCATCGAGAGGTGGTTAGCTATTCATTAGTGATTTGAGTTCAAGAACGGTTCATTAAATAATCCTAATCAACTTGCTAGATTTACTAATAGTTTATTTCCTGAGAATTTCCCTAAACCTGACGCTTTAATCCATTGATCTTTTCACCTGATAATATTGCTTGCTCGTGTTTTATTTTAATTTTAATTATTCTGTTTAGCATAATTTTGAGACTTATTACTTATTGTGTGAACAAAAGAACTTTGTAGAATTCGACCCTTAAGTACTGCAATAGATCTCTTACTTGAGAGAGTAGGCTTTAGGAGTTAATTTGACTCATATCAAATTTCCGATGATTTGGTCAGAAATATTACTCAGAAAATTTGTCGGAAATTATGAGTTTCAACCTTTTATATTTCCGATGAAATTTAAGTCTGAAAAGTTTTGTTAGTCGGAATTTTGTCGGAAAGTTTAGTCGGAATTTCGTCGAAAGTGGTTACCTTTAATATTTCTGACGAATTTCCAACTACAAGTTATTCGGAAATGTTTTATATATATACTAGACGAATTTCCGAAGGAAACGAAAGAATCATAAACATAAGAAAATCTTGTAAAGAAAAAATGTATTCTCATAATATTTACAAAGTTAGAGAGTAGATTGATTGCTCGAGTAATTACCTGATATATCTAACCGTTAGGTAGTATATTCGAGGTCGATCCACAAGGACCAAAGATACTTTAAGAATTTCCGAGACTCGTTCTTAGCTAAAACTAAAGAGGTTGTTTGTTTGGTTTTCGTAATTGAAAATAAAAATGCAAATAAAATAGACGATTAAACTTATGAATTTAAAGACATTGGACATTAGGGTATTTTAAAGATTAATAAACAATGGAAACATGAAACAAGGAATTCAACAATTAAGTACCGTTCTTGAACATGAACACGTTTCTATACTAAATCTCTTTCAAGACATTAGCCACTAAATTTGATAACTCGACTACTAAACTTTCGCTTGTAATTTCCTAGTCAAATTCGCATTACCAAACAAGTTCATTATGTTCACAATGCGTCCTTACGTCAACTTTCATTGGCTAGAATTACATTGCTCAATTCACATTGGTTCAGGCATTCTATCGAACACTTTTGATGCATAGTAAAACCTAGAATCTACAACAGGGTGATCAATCCTATTCTATCCTTAAGAGCATGTGAATCAAAGAACCTAAGGAATAAGAACTCCAAAAAACAATCAACCCCTCAATCTATTTAATCTCCTACTTAGAACCCTAAAACCCAATAAAGAGACTACTCACACATATTGAAAAGAATAACACAAAAAGATGTAGAAGAAAACATGATTGAATTGATAAATAAAGAACAAGGGTTTAGAAATCTTCTCCAAAGTGTCAAAGAGGATGAATCCCTAGAATCCCCAAAAAGCTTACAAAGAGAAGTCTCCAAAGTTGCAGAGAAAAGAACGTGAAAAGAAAATTAGGTCTCTGGGGTTTTTATACCCAAACACAAAAAAGGAAGACAAAACCCGGTTAAGAAAAACCGTCTCGGTACTTCTAAACGAAACTGCATCTCCAAAAGTGTGTTTATAACCCAAAATAGCTCGTTTTCCTCCAAAGCAACCTAAAACCTGTAGAGACTCGATAAAAGACTAAAAGACTCTAAAAACACACTTTGAATCTATAAAACATATGATGTAGGAAAGAAAACAAATACTCAAAACCGATAAAAACACAACATATCATGGATGTATAATCGATTAGATGATGAGAACGGAGCTGTGAGGCAGGAATACAAGGAATGATTAGTAGAGTTCATGCAGTCTGCATCTAATCACGAAATGACGCATATTGAAGGTATTATGGCATGTCCCTGTGTCAAATGTTGTAATGATCATTTTCTTGGAATCATTTATCATGGGGAGGTTTTACACGTCAAGTTTCTGGTCAAATTTTGTATTTTGACCAGTGAATTCCGACAAACTACCTTTAGTCGGAAATTTGTCAGAAATAGTCGTTTCCGATGAATTTCCGACTATTTTTGGGCGGATATTGGTATGTTTTCGAGTAGTGTATTAGAAATACCCATCAACTTAGAACCAAGCACAATAGTCGTAAGAAAATTTATGAAGAACTTAAGCCCATTGCTCATCCACAAAATTCTATACAAAGTGTCATATTTTCTCTTTAATCGAATGTAGGGTTTAGGATTGATGTATTTTATTTGGGTGAATAGATAAACAATAGTATAACGGTTCTATAGCGTCCGTTAGTTTAGAAAAAATAAAAATTCTTGGTTTATTTAGAAAATTGCATGCTCTTAAGGTTTCATTTTAAAAAAAATATAAAGAACTACTTTTAACTTAGAAAAATTTACATAGTGATTTTCACCGGTTTTTCTATTTTCATTTATTTTGAAAAGAATCATTGATATATCGTGGCTGGTGCGCATGTTTGACCCGTGCGAGTTTGCATTTAAAAGTAAAATTTGTATATATAGAATGAAATCTATAGAGGTACAAAATCTTTTCTATAATAATACAAAATTTGTATTTTTCCTAAATACTATATATTGTAAGATAAGCATTACAAAATTTATACTTTCTATTGACCGAGAATTATGATAAATTTGTGGAGTCAGATTTTCTTAATAAAGGTATTTATGGTATTAGTTAAAAGATAAATATATTTAAAAGGTAAATTCAAATATTTTAATAGAAAAAAGGATAAGAAAGATATAATTTTCATAATGCGTTTAACCTACTTGAACCAATCCATCTATAAAACGGAGTAGAGTAGTAACAGGAACTACAACAACAACAACAACAAAAACATCGCTCTAAAACTAAGAAATGGGTCGTAGCAAAATAGAGATAAAACGTATTGAAGATATCACCAAAAGGAAAGCGACGTTTTTAAGACGCCGAAAAAGTATTTTTAAGAAGGCCGATGCACTCGCAAAGCTGTGGAACGTGGAAGTTGCTGTCTTGGTCATCTCCCCCACAAATATACCGTACACATACGGTAATCCATGCTTCAACGATGTGGTTGAGCGTATCCAAAATCCTAGTGCTTCGTCCAAACTCGATAGTCTCATGAAAGAATTGGAACAAATCAAAGAGCTTGAGGAGGTATGTTTCCCATTATTAATATTATATAATAATTGATTTATTTTATCTATTGTTTATTATGTTTTTGTCTTTAATTTTTCGTCAATTTTAGGTTTTAAGGAAGAGGCAACAAAAAAACCGTGAAAAGTCCAATATGAAGGGGATTGTTGATTTGAAATTGGAGGACTTAGTTGCTTTCAAGGGGAAACTCGAGGCTCATCAAGCAGGTTTAAAGAGGAAACATGTAGAGATGGAGGATTTGTCTTCTCCATCGATGCTCTCAAAGAATACGAAGAAGAAGAAGACAAGGACCGAGTCTTCTTCTGGACAGAGCAGAGAAATGTATGAACTTCGGCCGAGAATTCCTCGGAACTATTTAGAATAACCGTTTAAAAAATAAAAAAGATATAATTATTTATATCATATAAGATCGATTATCGCTTGGTTTTTTTCTTTCATCTTGTTGTCTTTTTATTCGGATTTTCATAATGATATGTTTTTATTTTATATAAATAATTTACAATATATATATATATATATATATATATATATATGTGTGAACATGTTTAGAGAAATTTGGCGTAAAGTGTCACCCGAGTTTACGGTTGGGTTACATTATCTTAATATGAATTTCAATATATTTTAATATAATTAAGTAAAATACAACTAATATAGATTTTAAGAGAAGATTAAACGCGTGTCGAGATGTAGAAAAACTTCATAATATTCTTCATTTTAAGATTTTTTTCCTTTTGAAGATATATGATATCTATCTATTATTGTGTGTGCCGTGCTAAGAAACATTTTTTTCTATTAAAATACCTCATGTCATCTTATATATAAAAGTTTTAAATATTGGAGCGAATGTGAAATATTTATATATTATAATATGTGAAATAGTGTATATTCTAACATGAATGAAATAATCCCCTTCTAATTTGGTAGGTTTCTCTATATTCAAAATAATTTATTATCTTATTAGTCAGTGAATGATAATATCTTATAATTTAATTAAAATTGAAAAGAAATAGTATGCTAAGAACTTGAATGAAAAATAAGTTAATCTATATGTATAATAGCAATCTCAATAAAAGTCTTTTACACCTCTGAACGGTTACATCTTTTTATTGCAACATTTCGTTTAAATATTTATGGATATTTTTTTCGGTTGTGTCTTTTTATCGCATCTTTTCGTTGAAATATTTACGGTTATATTTTTACGGTTGTGTCTTTTTATCGCATCTCTTCGTGAACATATTTACGGTTTTTTTTTAAGTTATATTTGTTCAATTACAGTCGTATCTTTATAGTTTATGGTTGTGTCTTCATAGTTGCATCTATTCATTTAAAGTTACGTTTCATATTATATAGATTTAAATTTTTGTTATTTAACTAAAATATATATTTTACGGTTGTTTTTTTCAAAAAGTTGCAATCTGAATAAATATTTTCTACGGTTGCATATTTTTATCGTAACACCACATAAAACATTGTGCTTTTATTCGTTGAACCATTGCAACATTTACTTTATTTAGAACAATTATAATTTTTGATTTATTTTATAAATCATTAAAACATTTATTTTTTTTAAAACTTAAAATATATATTTTACGGTTGAATTTTTTTAGAATGTTACGATCCAAATAAATGTCTTTTATGGTTGCGTTTTTTTTTATCGTAACTTTTCGTAAACGGTTTTAACCTTTTAGATGAACCATTGCAATATTTAGTTTATTTCACGAACAAATGCAACTCATGGTTTCTTTTATAAACCGTTATAGCATTTAATTATCTACAGTCACGTCTTTCGGTGTAATTTTTTATAAACTATTATTTTAATTTTAGTTACTAAACTGTATTTAAATAAAATTATAACCTTTGCAACATTTGGTTTATTTGAAAAATTATTACAATTTTTAGTTTTGTTTTATGAACCATTGTAATATATATATATATATATATATATATATATATATATATATATATATATATATATATATATATTTTAAATTGGTGTAAATTTATTATTTTTTCTATTTAAACTTTCATGTCTTTTTAACTATATATATATATATTAAAAGTGGTGTAAATTTATTATTTTTTGTTTGATATTTTTTTATAGAAATTTACATTTTTTTGCATTTAGCATTTATGTATATATTTTATTATTTAGATTATTATTATTTTATCCTAAATAATTATCTATTTTGGTTATTTGTTAAATTTTCCGAAGATTGTCTCTTTTTAACATAATACAATTTAAAATTTACGTATTTTTATCGTAATTTTTTTGATGAATATATTTATAATAGTTTAGAAAATTGAAAATTTGCATCTACTCATTATAACTTTTTGTTTAATATTTTTTTATTTATGATCGCATCTTTTCACCATAATTTTTTTAATAATAATACAAATCTTAAAAAATGTTTTTGAGGGTTTACGTTTCTTTATCATATTTTTTGTAAAATATATATATTTATTATTAAATAGATTGTTTTGAAATTTGTTTTCTAAATTCATTATGACATTTCGTTTGATATTTTTTTCTTTAAACTTTTTTTAAATATTTTACTCCGTGACATCGCGGGGGTCTAAGTCCTAGTTGATATAATTGTGAAAGATAATGTCAAGTTTATTTTTTCCCGCTATATTACAATTTAGTTGGATTTCAACTTTTAACTAGTACATGGGGTTATTGATTAGACCCTATTGATTACATGTAGTCATATTGTTGGGGGAATTTTGCAACCACCAATAATAAGTTATAGGACAGATGGATAGAAGAAAACCATGTCAGCATTGATGATTTGAAGGATGACTCCCAGAAGAAGACTCTCAAATGTCGTTCCTCGAATACTCTGTGGGTCATACGGAAAATTGCTAATACCAACTCCGTAGCATGCCACTATCAACTATGCCAACTAATAGCGTCATCAGAAAAGTGGTTCGTTCCACCGTGACGCACGATAGTTAATGACGTACCAAAACTTGGGCAAGTTATAACCACGATTTGATCTTACCTAGAAAAAAGAACCCAAAACAAAATCTAGAAAGACCTCCACTTCACAAAAAAAAAATTAAAAGAAGGGAGGTCGAGAGATGTGAAAAATCAAGAGAGAAACTTACTCACACTTCGACACTTAAACCTAAATTCTGACAAAAAAAAATGATGAGTATTTTCGGAACGTGTCCCATGACAAGGCTACCTGACGTAATTGATGATGTTGCGGAATCGAGGACACAAACAACTTGTCAAATTCTTGGAAGAAAACCAAAACACTCAGCCGTGGAGACCGAGTTTTGAACAAGTTGATGAAATATGGATCTAGGCCTGGGCATATGGGTAACCCGTTCGGGTTCGGATAAAACCCGTTCGGGTTCGGGTTGAATGGGTAATGAATTTATGGCCCATTCGGGTATTTCTAAAGATTCGGTTCCGGTCCGGTTTGGGTATCGTCGGGCTCGGGTCGGTTTGGGTAATAAGCATGAGAACCAAAAAAAACCCAAAAAGTTTTGGGTCCCCATTGGGTTCGGGTCTAAATGGGTAAAATTACCCATAAACCCGAAATATGACTCCAATAGCCGAAGTTTTAAATCATTGTACATGCTCAAATGATCAAATAAAGATAACAGAACATCAAACATGACATCTAAAGACTAAATCCAATCCAAAATCACAAAGATGACTACTTAAGTCTTAAGTGTTAAGAGTAAATTCAATCCAAAATCACATGACATCAGAATGTTCGGTGACGGTAAGGTCGCCGAGAGTGTCGCGACGAGGGTTTCCAGTTTCGATAATGAGACTCAAAAGGGGATATTAAGCAGAGATTATCGAGGGAATAGGGATTCTAGAAGGAAATTAGGAAACTCAATCGTCAAAACTCAAAAGTTAGGGCTATATGACTATATAACTATATATCTATATACATATATAAACATATGTCTAAAAGCTTCGGGTTTATGGGTACCCTACATGGGTAACGGGTATTCCCCGACCCGAACCGATACCCACAGGTAGACCAAAACTCTATCCAATGAGGTAATTTTCTAATACCCTAATCCGCCTCAACCCGGTTTTTTCGGTCCGGGTATCGGTTCTGGTATCGGGTCCGGTTTTTTTGCCCAGACCTATATGGATCGGTGGTGATTGATAACCAAAGCTTAGACAGGCAACGAAACCTCGCAATAGATTCTCTGAGGTTAGATCCAGAGGAAAGGACGAAGTTGATCTTGATTGTGTTCTTTTTCTTTTGGAGACTTTCTTCCTCTTCTTCTGTTTTTCTTGCTCCATCGTTTGTAGTCAAAACCCTAATTTGTTCAAGCTGTGTTCCTTTCGACCTTAGATTAATATATATACGTACATCATATGCTCTGGGTTTATTTATTTATCCATTATTGTTTGAAAAATATATAAATAATAAGTAGATTAGATATATGAGACTACGACCAAAGTAAGGAATGAAAGTTACAAGAAAAAAAATCATAACGTAATTAAATGTCATTCAAAGGAAAAACAAAACAAAACAAAAATCAGCAAATTGTTACAAAGAGATATGAGACTCTCTCAAAGGTGATTCGGGAAAGTATGGAGCACACATCCTTTTCCGACTCCCTTACCGGATTCGTCATCTGTGATTCCTTTAAATTCGAATCTTCTAAAGCTTTCTCTCACCGAATCACAAAATAAAATATAAAATGATTTGTGAAATGTGGATGGAGCATAAATAAGCTCACCAGCATGAGTGAAACCTTTTAGGTTGAAATCGCTTTTCAAACTCTTATCATAGTAACTAAAAGGTTCAAGAAAATCTTTACTTGATGACCATTTGTGTTTCTTTGCATCCTCCAAAATCCACAATGTGCTCTTCCTCGTTTTATTTTTATCAACAAAAGCTAATCTCCCCTTATAATTTATCAGCATGTCCCTATAAAATATATCCGATGGTAAATCTATCATACCAAATTTTTCAAATCTGACATCAAATGTAATTATAACCAAAACACCCTTATTATAAATATCCTCTACATAATATATGACCCCCTTGATGCATCGCCCAAAAGTATTGTAGTCAGAAGGATGCCTATGGTTGGTGTTGACCGTTCTCCATGAATCTTGAGTCGACCCCAATGTAAACACCCAACGCACATCAGAACTTATTGAATGAGGCATGCACATTACTTTGTGTTTACCTTCAACTGGATCGTATCCTAAAAAGTTAGCATACAAGCTCTTTGGGGGTTTGGGTAAGGGTAATAACTCTCTTTTGCTAGGGTTCGAAACAATTGGCGTTCCTGATACTTGAAAGCAGATCAAGCCCTGGACGGATTCCGTAGGGGGGAAGGTACTAAGTCCTTTTGGGAATTTCATATGATAACGATAAATAGGCTGAGAACAAGAGTAAGACTCGTTGGAATTATGATTATGTTGTGGGATTGAAGAAACAAACAACTTGTCACCTTCTTTGAAGCAGACTAGAAGACTCGGCCGCAGTGTTGAGAACCTCGTTTCAAATGACTTGATGAAATATGAGTCGGTGGTGATTGATGACCAAAGCTTCGACACGCAACGAAATCTCAAAACAGATCTCGCTGGCAGCCTCAAGAGTATCTCTGTGGTTAGATCCAGAGGAAAGGACGAAGTTGATTTTGATTGCGTTCTTCTTTTTCTGTTGACTTTTCTCTTCTTCTCTTTTGGTTGCTCCATTTTTTGGTCAAAACCCTAATTTGTTAGGATGTGTTGTTTAGAACTTTTCTTGTTATTATATACTGTATTATGTTCTAGGTTTTTTATTTAGTTACTATATATTTTTGGTGCACTTACTGTAGTCAAGTGGTTAAGTCCATTTGGCACCGCGTACACTACAAGAAAACATGGATTTAGCGACTACACTAATAGTAACAAAATCGTCGCTAAATACATAATTACGACTGTTTGGCGACTAAAACACGTAGTCGCTGAACCTTGCGTCGCTAAATTAATATGTCGCATAACAGTCGCTATTTGGCGACTAATAGGCGACCATTATTTGCAGTCGCTATTCAGTCGTCACACAGTCGCTAAGTTTGCGACTCTTTTGGCGACTGTTTTGTGACGAATCTAGCGACTGTTATGTCACTACATGGCGACTATTTTCTAAATGTTTTGGTAACTGAATTGATACTACTTTGCGACTGATTATTATCGACTTAGAATGCTAATTTTGGAAGAATAAATTGTTGCTAATTTGATTGTTATTACCAATTTATAAGCAAAAAGACTTCTATTTAAAACATAAGAACATTATAAAATAAACCACAACATAAACATACATAAACATAAGAACCAAGTTCAAGTAACCAAACAACTTACACAAGTTTTCAAAGCAACACAAATGTTTTCAAGTTCAGAGAAGGAGGGAAAGTTTAGAGAAGGAGGGACCTATGGTTGTTGAGCAGTAGGAATAGTAGCAGTAGTAGCAGCAGTCGTGGCAGCAGCAGTGGCAGCAGTCGTGGCAGCAGCAGTGGCAGCAGCAGTGGCAGCAGCAGTGGCAGCAGTCGTGGCAGCAGTAGTAGTATCAGTGGCAGCAGATTGAGACTTGAGGAAGGCCATAAACTTTGGGTCAGTCTCGCTCAAATACTTCTTCACCATCGCCAAATGCTTGATCTCAGCTGCTTGCTCAGCTGCGACCCGCAAAGCCTCTGCTTCACGTTCTGCTTGGAGCGCTGCTTGTTCCTCAATCTTCCGGTTAGCATCCTCAAGCTGTGATTGGAGTGTTGTGAAAGAAGAACTGCTTCCTGGGTACTTGCGCTTCCCGTTGATGTAAACCCCGAGGCTGCCAACACCAAAGTATTCTCCTCTGTCGTTTGTGATAGTAGACTGCATACCAAAAGAAAGAGTATTACACAGTTAGACTGCATAACAAAAGCAACCATAAATAACAGACTATTTACCTGAAGGAAGATCTCATCATCCTCCTCTTGAGATAGCTCAGATCGTCGCGAAGTCCCATCTGCTTGTTCATCATTCTCTTGAAGGGCAGCCAACTTAGCTGCCTTGTTCTTGAGATATGTTTCATGGACTTCCTGCGCCTTCCTATCCACAAAAGTCCCATCCTTCTTGGTATGAGTCCTGATGAAAACTTCACCAATAGTAGGAGGTCTTCCCAATTCAACTTCCTGAACAAAGTAAATATATAGGTCTAAGTAATCTAAAACTAAAACAAAGTAAATAGGTCAGAATGTACCATCTCTTGCTCTATTTGTAAAAACGACTTTGGACCAGCAACATGCTTGTGAGGACCAAGACCATTACGGTCAGACATCCTAGCTGCTGATGTGGTTGAACTCTTTGCTAATGCTTCTTCAGTGTCCCAATAGGCACACATCTCTATCCAAAGTTTTTTCTCGATCCAATTTGGCCTCTCTCGTTTTGAACATGCCTTGCTAACCATGTCTTTCATCCGCACCTGACAAATCTTGTAGAATTTAGCTTCAACAACACCTGTCACTGAGGGATGCCAGGTGTGTAGTTTCTACAAAACAAGAGTAGAGTTTGGTGTTAGTGATCAAAAAACAAAACAAAAGTGTAATTACATAAGTATAAGAGGAGACAAAATTTTACCGCGAATTCGAGGAAGTATCTTTCTCTTCTACCAGTAGGAACACAGCTCCAATTGTAATATGGCCCATCAAACTTGTTTGTGAAACATTTAGTGATCTTCCGGGTTAGCTTTCCATTGTCCTTACCAAACCTACAATCAAATAAACCAGTTAGCTTTGATACCATCCATAATCTATAAACAAGTAGACCTAATCAAATACAAACATACTCAAACTCAAATTATACAACCAGACTCTACTTAAGTTATACAAGCAGACCAATAAAGCTAATACTATATACTAACAGACTCTAACTCAAACTATACAAGCAAACCTAACAGACTATAAGACCAAAACATGCAGACCAATAAGAAGACTCTACTTAAGTATTGAAAATGTTTACCAAGCTAACCTATTTACCTAATCTATATACAATCAGACCTATATACAATCAAAATTAAAAATGTTTACCAAGTGGTTTCAGGCTCGAGGTTGGGAGAGATGACGGTGGTGAACTTCTCACGGCCTGGGATGAGAAGTGTAGCATGTAAATCTGCGAGGACATCTTCTGGGAGTGTTGAATCCCTCAACACATCTTCTTTAGATTCACCTTCAGCTTCCTCATCTTCAGATTCCTCGTGTGAGTTTTGAGCCTGAGAACTATGATGCGATACAGAGGCTCGAGGTTGAGGAGAAGGTCTTTGTTGACGAGATGGTATTTGTCGATTTGACGCTGCATGCTGAGTCGACGCTGGAGGTTGAACCGGCGCAGGAGGTTGAACCGGCGCAGGAGGTTGATTCGACCGAGAAGCTAGACGATGAATAGATCCTACAGAGCCTCGTCCTTGAACAGATCCAGACCCTCGAACTTGAGTAGATCCAGATTCCCGAAATGGATGCGACCCAGAGCCTCGAGGAGAATCATCGCCGGACTGGAACAGCTGCGTCGGAGGAGGATAGTCTCTATGAGTCGGAGGCTGAGACTCTAGGGCTACAGGATTTACCGGACTTTGCTGAGTCTCTGGGGCTTCAGGATTCGCCGGAGTGAAGGTATACTGGCTAGGAAGAGTACTGGGTCTTCGATTTGACGTCCCAGAAGCAGTGGGTCGATTGGCGACAGGTCGATTTGGGGAAACCTTCGGAGCCCTTCCTCTTCCTCCTCTTCCTCTTCCTCTCTTCGGAGCCATCGAGAGAGATACGAGAGACAATTCGGTCGAGAATCAGGGTTCGTCGCTAGATCGAGAGAATCTAGGGTTTGATTTGGGTGCGAGCAAAACGGGATTAGGGTTTTCTACGAAGGGAGAACGTAGAAAACGTTCATACTTGGGCTCATGGGCTAACGTTACTGGGTTGTTGGGCTTTTGGGCCCAATTTGAATGTCCAACTAGAATTACGCAGTCGCTAATTCGTAGCCACTGAGTCGCTCCAGTTGGCGACTAAATATTCGGTAACTAATCCGTCGCCATATTTAGCGACTATATAACGACAATATAAATCAGTCTCATATTAGATACTAATTAGCGACTATCGTATTTTGGTTCATATTTAGTCGCCAAAACGTAGCTAAACGGTCACTAGATGTAGCGACTGCAAAATTAGTCGCCGAATTAAGTCGCTAATCTCATGTTTTCTTGTAGTGGTAGTAGGGATTTGCTATGGATCGGACTTGTCGATTTATGATGTCAAAAAAAAAAAAAAACATTCTAACTAATTGGATAACAATTAGTCAAAACTCAACGCCTTGGTTAATTCATCTACCAACTGCTATGATGTTCGAACATATTTTGTGATGGTGATAAGTGGACCTTTTTTTTTAATAGAAATGTGAATATCATTAAAATGAATAGGTGAGCTTTTTGCAAAATAAGCATAACCTACAAATGTAACCTTGCCACAAAAGAAATAAAAAACAAGAGTTACATACATAACGTTGAGTGTCAATCAACGAATTATTTGATCCAAAGGGCCATCAAGTTTCGGAATTTCGTCATGTTTCTTCTGGCAGTTATCGTGTTTCTTACATAACCTTGATAAGTCGACTTTGAATTGCAACTTAAACACTATGACAATAATGCACTTCAATATCTTTTGGTTGTGTTCTTTTTTTTTTTTCTTTGCATACTTCTCTCTTCTTCTCTTTTTGTTGCTCATTACATTAGAGAACTCCATTTGTTGAGGATGACAATGGTGGAAAGTGCAAAGCCACAAGAGCGAGAGTATATATATGGTTACATATACATGGACTCTAAGAGTCGAAGACGCATGAATGTTTTGGATCTTTTGAGTTTTCAATATTTGTTTCTCCTTTATATTCCTCTTAACGGTTTATGCTCAACTCGTAAAATGCAGTAGGGAATTGGCAAGGGAGGAAAATGAAAGAGAGGTTTAGCTGGTAGGAAGCACAAAGCTCAGAAGCCTTTTTTTTGGATTTCAGATATTTTTCTATGATTCTCTCATTTTGTAAACTCTTTGGCTTCTGAGGAGAATATTTTGTTATTGGAATTGTACAATAAGTAAATAAGAAATTTATAGGTAAACTTGCAAGTTAGTGATAGCCTGATAGGTTAGTTCTTCTTGGGTAAAGAAAAAAAAACACAGAAAATATTTTTTTTTATTCAAGTGGAGTACGATAAAATTCACTTTTTCTTTGTCATCTTTATTTTGGACCAGAATGGGCTGGCACAAGGTCCAATTAACTTCATTGCAGATGAGAGGATTTGGTCCCAGATGAGGATAGTCTAGTCTTGTAGACTTATGAATATAACTAGATGGTGGTCACTTACTCACTTCAAATTCACTTTTTATTATTTTTAATAATATGGTTTAGTGATATTTTTCTTATAGATAATAAATTCAAGAGTGTGACAGGCTCTTGGAAGATAAATCAAAATCTAACCTACCAGCTGGAGTTGATCGGCCAATGTTCAGAGGGAAAGAAGACTATGTGAAATAAAGTAATTTCTTTGTGAAACAAAAACATATCATGCAAACATTTTGCAGAATGTCTTTTTATACCCAAAGAATGATGATATCATTTATTTTTAAACATGAATCAACAAAAAAAAATTAAATTACATGCCTGAATCGTAAATCTGTTATCCGTTTCTTGACTAACATAGTGTTAGTCAACCGTCTAATGATGCTGAGTTAAACGCGTGATATGGAGTGTGACAAAGCAAAACGATATAGTTATGGTTGTGTTGTGTACACAACAAACGACGTTGTTTTGAAATTAGACATAAAATCGAACATAAGGATAAAATTTGGAATAAAACATGTCGACAAAACACAACCAAATTTCAAATTTATCCACAATTTCAAAATGATGTTGTTTCTTGCGTACACAACACAGCCAAAATGATTAAAACTATATTTTTGGCTTAGTCACAGTCTACATCACGCTTCTAACTTAGCACACGACTAAAACTACATCGTTTTGCTTAGTATCACTCGACGTTATGTTTCTACTCAGCAGCGTTAAAACGGTTGACTAAAACTTTTTAGATCAAAGTAGGAAATGGCTAACGGACTTAAGGTTTAGATAGATAATTTGAAATTTTTGTTGTTTCAAGTTTAAAAAATATATGCTACAATTTTTTGGGTATAAAAAATATTCTCCAAAATGTTTTGGTTGATTTTGTCTATATTTTTCACGAAACATGTGACACGAAGAGGTTTTATTCTTTCTTTCGTTAAGTTCATGTTAGAATCTTCGAGGAGGCTTGAGGAGGCTTGAGGAGGTGTGAGGTATATATATTTCTCTTGGTTTGCTAACTACATTATACAGGAGTAACTAAGAAAAAATGCTAAAAATCGTTTGACTAACTGGTTGAGGTTGTGTGATTCCCTTGTGCGGTTCATGTTTTATATATACAAACAAAAATGAAAAAAAAATAAAACTAAAAGACAAAGAACCATGGTAGTGATTAGTGAAACGGGATACAATCAAAGTAAGGAATGGGAAATTATTAAACAAAATTCGTAAACTTGCATAAATGATTATTCTAAAACCAAGAAATTGTTACAAAGATAGGATTTTAATCTAGTCCGCCCCCTCAGCTCAAAATCGATTCCATTTAGCCCCCGTAATAAAATTGATATAGTTAATGGTTTATTTTAATTAAGAAAAATAGTAAAAGACAAATAAAACAAGGAGTTTTCATTTATTTACGACCCAAACGGTCAGTTGGATCTAAGTCCATATGACTTTCGGATATTTTATTCCTAAAATCAAATCCAAACCCTAATTCCTAAATCACTTGTTTTTTTTTCCACGAGTCTTTTTTCTTCTTCTTTTTCTCTTCTTCTTCTTCATCTTCTTCTTCTTCTTCTCTCCACGACTTTTTCATTTTCTCTCTTCTCTAGATTCCGTCGAGACTCTTTCGTCTTCTTCTTCTTCCCTCTTCACTCGTTTCTATCGATCCAAAGTTATGTCCTCTCTCTTCTTCTCCATGAGAAATCCGCCGTGAGAACACCCCGTGTCTTCTCTTTGTAAGATTTCATTTGTTTGGTCCCTAATTTCGATTGATTGTGTTTGATTTATTAGAGTTTGATTTCTTCCGATTTCTTTTCCTCTATGAGAGTTTGATCTGTAATTCTCTATGATTTTGTTTGAAACAGATGTATATTGGATGGAATTTCATTTACAATTAGGATTTTTAATGATTACAATTCGAATTTTAAGATTACGGAATAGGATTTGAATTACAATTCGGATTTGAAATTGGGATTCCTTGAAATTGTCTCTTAATTTTATGTGTTTGTATTGCAGGAAATAGAGATGGATATGAGTATGTTCGGTTCGCTTTTGGTTTCTTAGGTTGATATATAGAAGGAGAAGGCGAGGGAGCATGAGCAAGAGAAGGAATATGAGAAAGAGAAGGAGAAGGAGAAGAGAAGAAGATTTGGTGTTTGGGTTTTTAGATACAATTGTGTTTGATTTGTCTTTTGGTTTCTTATGTTGATGTATAAATCTAAGTGTTTAGGTACAACTGGTACGCTCATGTACAACTATGTATCTGGGTTTATGATTTTTTGAAAGAAAAAAAAACTATCCAAGTATGTATGAATCTATGAATCTGAATCTTAATATCTTTATGTATGAATATAATCTAAGGGTTTTGATCCAAAAAAAAATTTTAATAGCTAAATTTTCCAAAATATATGACAAATATGTATGTTTCTAACGGTTTTGATTCAAAAAAAAAAACAAAAAAAACAATGAAATATCTGAAAATATCTCAAAATATCTAAAAATATCTGACAAATATCTTACCTGGCGCCGTTATTTTAGAAAAAATAATTAAATTGTAGCACAAATTTGCTCATAGTTGTACAGTTGTACTCGGTTGCACATTTTTGCTCATAGTTGTACAAAATAGAGAAATTAGTAAATCTAGTTGTTATCAATTCTAAAGTAATTTTTGTGGGTGGAACCGATGGTATTGCCTCATCAAAATACCATTACTTTGTATCAGTGTAGTTATATTTATCAAAATACAAGTATTTCAAAAATTTAACATTTTTTAGTTCAAATCTACAAAGTAACCATGTAAGTATAAGGTTATTAGTGTATGAATGTGAGATTTTGTGATAAGAATTTCATTAATTTAGAAAAATATGAAAATTTTTGTCAAAAACTTCTTGTGTAGTTTCATTACCACCGAGTATGCATTTTTTAAGATTTTCTAATTTGGTTTTAAATTTTCATATTTTATAAAATTTTGAAAACTAGCCAAGGCAATAGACCTTAGTTGTACAGGTTGTACTTAGTTGTACCAAGACAGAACAATTTAATTTGTACTGATACGACAAGGAGATCAACCAGAGTTGTACATGTTAAAACTTAGTTGTACGAAACAGAACAAATAAGTTTCACAACCAAAACCAATACAAACAACATCGCTTCTTAAATAATCCTAATAATGGCACTCATAAATCAACCTTGGTCACCCTCATCGTCCCATCATTGGTAAACCACTCGCCTAAACCACTCGGCCTCTTCGACCTCTTCTTACCTCCTTTTTCTCTATGTTCTCCAACGAAGGGAAATCTTGTTTCTTGTCATCTTCCTTGTTTTACCTCATAATCCGGAGGATAAGCAAACTGTTTCATTATCTCCTTTGGAACAATCCATTGAAAATTATAGAGAACCGGATAAATCGTTCTCGTATAATTTGGTCTACTTAGTTGTACCCAATGATTTCAGTTGTTCCAAATCTGCAATCCCCAAAATTTTCTACCAAAAACCGTATTCAAGCTACGAATTCAATTTTTCTCAATTATATTACACTAAGAAAACAAGTATACTTACCTTAAACTATGGTGGATAGAGAAGAAGAAGTAAACAACGAGCGTCAATGGTGGATGGAGAAGAAGAAGAAGAGAGGAGAAATGTCTTTGGAGATGCTTGAATCATAAGAAGAAGGAGAAGAATTTGTTTTTTTAGGTTTTTGGATGGAGAAGAAGAAGAAGAAGAAGAGAGGAGATATGTTTTTGGAGATGCAAAATCGTAAGCTTTAATGGTGGATAGAGAAGAAGATAGGAGAAGAAAAATGTCGTAAGGAGAAGAAGATTAATCTCATTTTTTTAGGTTTTTGGTAGTTAATGAGAGAGGAGAGAGAATGAATATGATTGGTTGCTTTTAAGAATTTGTTGGTAATAAAATTTAATGTATAAATAAATAGGATAAAGGGGAAGGGTAGAGTTGGTTTTTAAATGTATTGGGAAGGAGAGGGGGTAGTGAGAATAAGTGAGGGCTTTTGAAAGAATGTTTGGAGGAAAAGGGGCTAGAGAGATTAAAATCCACAAAGATATTAGACTCTCAAGTCTCAACGTTATTCAGGAAAGTATAGAGCGGTACATACATCCAGGCCCGGCCCATCCACAAGCTAAGGCAGCTAAAGCCTTATGCTTTAGGCCACAAATTATATATACAAAAAATGAGGCCACATTTCCAAAAGTCCCAATAGTCTAGTGGTAAAACCTTTGCAGGTAATGTTAACTCTCTCAGTTTCGAGTTCCTATGGATGATGTTTTTAATTTTTTTTTTTTTTTTTCAAAGCCAAATATGCTTTAGGCCACAAAAATGGTAGGACCGGCCCTGCATACATCCGTTTGTAACTTCATTATTGAGCCTAGATTCGCCGTTTGCAATTATTCCTTTAATTTTGAATCTTCAAAGCTGTTTCCCACGAGATCAAAAGTTGTTTATCAACCGAGATTTTTCTTAGTGCAATACAAAACTGACAGTTTGCTTCTTCGGTTCTTCCGCCCTCGACGTGAGACTGAAACGTTTCTCACTACTTGGTTCAGATATATTCAAAACTAATTCATTCTGGTTGTTTCATTTGGTCACTAAATATTGGATGAGGAATCTTCTAATTCGATGTCCACATCAATTTGTTTTATTGTAACACCTCCGGTTTCAGGAAGTATGGTAGTGCATGCAGAGAGGTTTAAAAGAATTTATTTGACCACCTATGTCACCAAAGTTCACTTATCTTTTCGGCCAAACATTCTAAGAGAATTCCACAGTTAAACGTGCTTGAGCTGGGAAAATTTTAGGATGGGTAACCTTCCGGAAAGTATGGTAGTGCATGCAGAGAGGTTTAAAAAAATTTATTTGACCACATATGTCACCAAAGTTCACTTATCTTTTCGGTCAAACATTCTAAGAGAATTCCATAGTTAAGCGTGCTTGAGCTGGGAAAATTTTAGGATGGGTAACCTTCCGGGAAGTGATTGTCGAAACTTTATGAGTGAGGACAAAACACATAATAATATCACATGATAATTTTTATGTTTGGTAAACAAGTCTTTAAAATCTCTCAGACGTAGCAGACCGGCTGTCGGGCAAGAGTAGACCCACGGGCAGAGAGAGAACATGGGGCCACTAAGAAAGATGGAGGTCGAGGAGTTACAAACGGTATCAGAGCCAAACTTAGGCGAATGTGGAGTCAAGAGGATTCATACCGTCAGGGCGATAGTCTTGGTGCGCAACAAAGACGCTATGATCTTTTACTAGGGGTGAATTGTAAAACATGAGTTTCAAGAAATATGGTGGTACATGCAAAGATGTTTAATAGAGTTGATTTGGTCACCTATGTCCAAAGTGCACTTATGTTTTCGGCCAAACATCTTGAGAGAACTTTACAGTTAAGCGTGGGTGAGCTGGTAAAATTTCAGGCTGGGTGACTTTTCGGAAAGTAATTATCGTAACCGTGAAAATAAAGACAAAACATAGAAAATATCATATTGTGATTTATAGGATCAGTAACAAATCTTTAAAATCTTCCGGATGTCGCAAACAAGCCGTCGGGTAAGAGTGGGCCCACATACTTAGAGAGAACGTAGAGCCACTAAAAAAATGGAGATCGATCTTTTTATTGTTTTTAATTAAATCTAAGGTAATCTAGGCGATTAATTCGAATTTATGCATATAATAAATGATACCAACGAATCTTGATTATTTTGATTCCATAAATTGTTTAGAAGCCATAGAAATATTCATCAACTTAGAACCAAGCACTACAGTCGTTAGCAAGATTATAAAGAACTTAAACCCATTGCTCATTCACAAAATTCTATACAAAGTGTCATATTTTCTCTTTAATCGAATTTAGGGTTTAGGATTGATGTATTTTCTTTGGGTTAATAGATAAACAATAGTATAGCGGTTCTATACCGTTCGTTATTTAGAAAAAAAAATCTCGGTTTATTTAGAAAATTTTATGCTCTTAAGATTTCATTTAAAAAAGTATAAAGAACTACTTTTAACTTAGAAAAAGTTACATAGGAATTTTCACCGGTTTTTCTATTTTCATTTATTCTGAAAAGAATTATTGATATGTCGTGGCTGGTGCGCATGTTTGACGAGTGTGAGTTTGCATTTAAAAGTAAAATTTGTATATATAGAATGAAATCTAGAGATACAAAATCTATTCTATAATAATACAAAATTTGTATTTTTCCTAAATACTATCTAATGTATTAACTATTGACTGAGAATTATGATAAATTTGTGGAGTCAGATTTTCTTAATAAAGATATTTATGGTATTAGTTAAATGATAAATATATTTAAAAGGTAAATCTAAATATTTTAATAGAAAAGAGATAACAAATATATAATTTTCATAATGCGTTTAAGCTGCTTGAACCAATCCATCTATAAAACGGAGTATAGTAACAGGAACATCAACAACAACAAAATATCTCTCTAAAACTAAGAAATGGGTCCTCGAAAAATAGAGATAAAACGTATTGAAAATAGCATCGAAAGGAATGCGACGTTTCTAAGACTCCGAGATGACATTTTTAAGAAGGCCGATGCACTCGCAAAGCTGTATCATGTGGAAGTTGCTGTCTTGGTGATCTCCCCCACAAATGTACCGTATACATACGGTAATCCATGCTTCAACGATGTGGTTGAGCATATTCAAAATCCTAGTGCTTCGTCCAAAATCGTTAGTCTCATGAAAGAATTGGAATGTATCAAAGAGCTTGAGGAGGTATGTTTCCCATTATTAATATTATATAATCATTAATTTATTTAATATATTGTTTATTATGTTTCTGTCTTTAATTTTTCATCAATTTTAGGTTTGGACGAAGAGGCAACAAAGAAACCATGAAAAGTCCAATATGAAGGGGATTGTTGATCTGAAAGTGGAGGACTTAGTTGCTTTCAAGGGGAAACTCGAAGCTTTTCAAGTAGGTTTAAAGAGAAAAATTGTAGAGATGGAGGATTTGTCTTCTCCATCGATGGTCTCAAAGAAAACAAAGAAGAGAAGACAAGGACCGAGTTTTATTCCGGACAGAGCAGGGAAATGTATGTGCTTCGGCCCATAATTCCTCGGAACTATTTAGAATAATCATTAAAAAAATAAAAAAGATATAATTATTTATATCATATAAGATCGTTTATCGTTTGGGTTTTTCTTTCAAAAAGTTTATGGAATAATTTAGGTTGTTGTAATTGAAGGAAGTTGTGTCCTTCATCTTGTTGTCTTTTTATTCGGATTTTCATAATGATATGTTTTTTCTTATAAATAATTTACAATATATGTGATCGTCATGTTTCGAGTAATTTGGCATAAAGTCTCACCTGAGTTTACGGTTGGGTTACATTATCTTAATATGACTTTCAATATATTTTAATATAATTAAGTAAAATACAACTAATATACATTTTAAGAGAAGATTAAACGCATGTGGAGATGTAGAAAAACTTCACACTATTCTTCATTTAAAGATTTTTTTCCTTCTGAAGATATATGATATCGATATATTATAGTGCGTGCCATGTTAAGAAATTTTTTATATTAAAATACCGCATGTTATCTCATATATAAAAGTTTCAAAATAGCGCATGTGAAATATTTATAAATTATAATATGTGAAATACGGTATATTCTATAATTCAACCAAAGGCAAACTATGTCCTCATACTCAGGTCAAACATGAATGAAATAATCCCCTTCTAATTGGTAGGTTCATCTATATTCAAAATTATATATTATCATATTTGTCAGTGAATGATAATATCTTTTTTTTTTTTTTTTGTCATCCGAAATTAATTAGAACTCAAAAGAGACATTCCTGAGGAATGTTGTTTACAAATGTAATATGAAGCGGTTTTGTATGAATTTTTTGTGCCAGATTATCCACCTTAATATTAGCCATACGAGAAATTAAAGATAAAGAAAAAGATGAAAACTCCTCCTTGTCACTCTGAAATTCCTCCAAATACACTGAAAACGCCGGCCATTCGGTTGGAGAAGACACCATCTTCACCAGGTCTGAACAGTCTGTAAAGAACACTACCTCTTGATTATCTGCACCAATCATACACTTTATCGCCCAGAGAAGGGCCTCGACTTCGGCATGTAGTGGAGATAGACTTCTACCGAGGTTCGCAGCTCCCATGGTTGACGGTTCTCCATTTGACGATGTACAGAACCAGCCTGTACCGGAGAACGTATCACTTTCTTTCCATGATCCATCCACAAAACAACGGTATCCCGAATACTCCGCCTCAAGTGAAACATCCCTCACTCGAGCTTGATTTACCAAGTCCACAGAATTATGATTTTCATTATGGAGCTCAAATTGAGCTGACTGCCACAATTGTGCCTCTTTTTCCGCTAATAGTAATACTTCTATTGGGTCTGTATCTAGGTTTAATTTTCAAAGATCTTTTCATTCCTTTCTTTCCAAATATACCAAATAATCCATGGAAAGGCTGATGAATCAAATTCCGTAGGTCTTCTCCAAACTAAGTGATCCAAATTCGTAAAATTAATTAGTAAAATAAATGATAATATCTTATATTTTAATTAGAATTGAAAATAAATAGTATGCTTGGAAGATAGATTAAAATAAGTTAATTGATTGATATAATTGTGAAAGACAATATCAAGTTTATTTTTTCCCGCTCTATTATAGTTTAGTTTGATTTCAACTTTTAACTAGTACATGGGGTTATTGATTACATGTACGTAATCATATTGTTGGGGGAAATTTGCAACCACCAATAAAAAATTATAGGACACATGGACAGAAAGCCATGTCATCATTGCTGATTTGAAGGGTGACTCCTACACTCCCCCATGAAGACTCTCAAATGTCGTTCCTCGAATGCTCTGTGGGTCATACGGAAAATTGCTAATACCAACTCCGTAGAGCCACTGCCATTTACAGCAACACTAAAGGATTAGCCGTAGCATGCCACTATCAACTATGCCAACTAATAGCGTCATCAGAAAAGTGGTTTGTTCCACCGTGCGCACGATAGTTAATGACGTAACGAAACTTGGGCAAGTTATAACCACGATTTGATCCTACCTAGAAAAAAAGAACCCAAAACACAATCTTGAAAGACCTCCACTTCACAAAAAAAAGAAGGGAGATTGAGAGATGTGAAAAATCAAGAGAGAAACTTACTCACACTTTGACACTTAGGTTAAACCTAAATTCTGACAAAGGAAAATGATGAGTATTTTCGGAACGTGTCCCATGACAAGGCTACCTCACGAACATGTGTCATGGTCTTACACCATCAGGGTTGGCCTTGGGCTAAAGCGGGTAAACCCCTTACTTTAGGTGCTGAAAAGTATATAGTAGTAAAGAGCATTAAGTTTCAAAAACATTGTCTTTCTGTTGCATGGTTTATATCTCAGTTAAAAATATTTTGTGACTTTGTTAAACAAATGGACCTAAAGACGTTTTAGGCAGCCAAATCTGTTGGGCCGGCCTTGCTCACAGAGAGCAAGACCTCCACCCATATGCATTGTGTAACGCCCTGAACGCCACCTATCTTAGTAGGTCCTACGTCTTCTCTCGGTCTGTGAGTCCACCTCTTATCCGATGGCCGATACACTACGTCTGGGAGGCTTTGAGAATTTGTTTACCGATCCTACAAATCACAACATGATATTTTCCCGTATTTTGTCCTAACTCACACGGTTCCGACAATCGAAAAGATTCCTCTATTAGCTATATATGTACATCATATATTTAATCTTCATTGTGATTAGTTTGCTAGATTAAACATATGAAATAGTTTAGAGTGGTTAAAATCTAAGCAACCAATTGTAATCCATCGGCCAAAGTCCAGAGGGAAAGAAGAGTATGTGAAACCTCGTAGCGAAACAGAGTAACCAAAAGGTACACACGAAGAATGTGACATGAAGAGGTTTTATCCTCTCTCGTTTTTTTTTCCTTTTTTCTTAGTTAGCTACTTTTGTCTGTCTTAACTTTACTAAAGAACGTTCCTTAACAATGTGTAAGTTCATGTAAGAATCTCCTATCTTGGGAAGCGCGAGGTAATATGTATTTCTGTCTTTATCTTTAACTTTTAAATAACAAAGAACTGGTAATGAAACGGGATATAATCAAAGTAAGGAATGAAAAATTATAAGAAAAAAAAATCATCAACTTGCATAAAATAAGTGTCATACTAAGGAAGAAAAAAAACCAAGGAATTGGTTACAAAGACATTTGACTCTCAACGTGATTCGGGAAAGCATGGAGCATGCGATAAAATAAATTATTGAGCACAGATTTCTCCTCTATGACTCCTTTAAGTTCGAATCTTCTAAAACTGTTTCTCACCGGATCATAAAATAAAATATATGACGACTTACGAACCACATCTGGTACATAAATAAACTCACCAGCATGAGTGATACCTTTTACTTTCAAATATGTATTCGAAATCTCATCTTTGCGAAAATAGGTGCACGAAAGCCTTTACTCGACCACTTGTGTTTCTCTGCATCTTCCAAAATGCACAATGTCATTTTACCATCCGTCTCAGTAGTTTTTCTAACACAAGCTATGAGGGGATCCCTATGAAAATCAGATGGTAACTGAATCATACCAAACTTTTCAGATCTGACATCAAAGCTCATTACAACCCAAACATCTGTACCATAAACATAGGCTATATAATATACAACCCCCTTGATGCACCGACCCGAAGTATGGTAGTCAGAACAATGCGTAGGTTTAGTTTTGACAGTTCTCCATGATTCTTGAGCTGGTCCCAATGTTAAAACCCGACACACATCAGAACTTCTTCTAAAAGGCAAGCACATTACTTTGTGTTTACCTTCGATGGGATCATATCCTAAGAAAACTGTTAGCCGCTCCCAGCTCTTTCTAGGTTTAGGTAAAGTTAAGCACTGCCTCTTGCTAGGGTTACAAACTATTGGCGTTGCTGATTCTTGAAAGCAGATCAAGCCATGGACAGATTCCGTAAGGGGGAAGTTATTATGTAATAGGAATTTCAAATGATAACGATCAATAGGCTGAGAAGAAGAGTAAGATTTGTTCGAATCCTGAAGTGAATGATGATGTTGCGGAATCGAGGAAACAAACAAATTTTCATATTCAGTGAAGCAAAGCAAAAGACTCGGCCTTGGGTACCGAGTTTCGAACAATTTGATGAAATATAGATCTGTTGTGATTAGGGATGTTAATTCTGGGCTTTAGCCCACTGGGTACCCAAAACCCACGTCAAATAGTACTAAGTCCATGGATCTACTTTTTATCTTAAAAAACGCGGGTTTAAAACGGGTCGGGTATCCGAATCAAGAGAATCTTATACGGGTTTACCTTATCGGGTTATGGATACCCGTGGGTTTTTGTTTTTTAATTCATTCTAACAAAAACGACGTAGTTTCTTCTTAGAGACACGATCTTTCTCAGAAACCCTAAACGCCCAAATTCGATTCTTCTCAGAGAGACACGATTTTTCCTCTTCACCTTCAGATTCTTCCTCTTCACCATAAGATTCTTCCTCTTCACCATCAGATTCTTCTTCTTCACCTTCAGATTCGATTGAAACTGTATGTTCTTCTTCTTCTTCAATTTTTCTCTCAAATTCAATTTTGTGTAGCTTTGATATAGCTTTCTAGAAGGTCAACAACACACGTGTGAAGTCGGAGGCACGTGCGGAGTGGTGAGCTGGAGGCTAAAAGATTCTCTGTGACGGAAGTCGTTGTTAACGTCGTTACTTTTATGCATTATAAGAGCAAATGTTAGCTCACAGTTTTATTATGCAAAAAAACTTGTTCTCTGTAACTTTCTAGAAGTTTCTGGGTTGTTCTTCATCGTTTTGCTGGATTTCCTTCACGGAGTCTTGCAGGTGAGAAGTGGTGTCGCGTTTATCATGAACGTTGTAATCCATTTATCGTAATAATAATCGGAAGTTCTTTTACCATCTCTTACTCTGTTTTTACGTTAACACTGGTATCAGAGCTACTCATCCTCGGAAACAATGGTGGCTAAGTTAAGATCGCGTTTATTACAAACCAATCCGGCGGATGCAGAAGCTTCGGAGTTAGATCAGAGCACGGAGGAGACGATCAACTCACGATTGGACTTGATTCTTAACCGGACTCAAGCTCTGGAGGTATCTGTAGCTGAACAAAACAAAAAAATCGATAAAAACATTGCCGATATGTTTGAAATTGTTAAATCGATGAGGTCAAATCAAGCTTCATCTAGTGGAAAAATTGGTGCGGATAAGAACTATACGGCAGTATCGGCGACGCCGGGTTCTTTTGATGATAGTTCCAGTCAACCTCGTGGTTATAAACCTGGACCACAGGCTTCTTACGCTGGAGTCACACGTATCGGAAAAGTGGATTTTCCCAGATTTGATGGGAATCGGGCTCGTGATTGGTTGTTTCAGGTGGAGGAGTTTTTCGAGGTTGATCATACACCAAAGGATATGAAGGTGAAGTTGGCCGCCATTCATTTTAATGGAAAGGCAGCGACATGGCACCGATCTTTGCTTCATACTCCAGGAACCAAAAGAGTTCTGCGGGATTGGGAAGCTTATAAACTGGAGTTGATGGATAGATTTGAGGATGTTTTGGATGATCCGATTTCTGAGTTAAAACAACTTCAAGAGACTAATGGTATTGTTTAGTATCATGACAAATTTGAGTTGATAAAAAATCGATTAGATCTTTCTGAAGATTATCTTGTTGGTGCATATCTTGCGGGTTTGAGGGTTGATACACAAATGCACATTCGAATGTTTGAACCTGATATAAGATTGGAACCAATCCAACTTATGATCACTCAATGATCAAGAGATTCCAAGCTTAACTTGCGGAAGGTGGAATCCACGAGCTGGCTATAACGCACTCTCTCGTGAATCAAGGGATGGAACGATGGATAGATGCGATTGACTCACTCAATCAATGAACAAACCAGAAGTTTGAATCACTCAAACAACTTGATTTGCAGACTCAAAAGAACTTAATTGACTCACTCAAATAAGAACTAATGAAAGGAAACACAAAGAATTCGCAACTTTGTGGAAGAAAAGAAAACAATGTTTCTTATGAACTTTAAAATCTCGATTAAGGGTGCCTTTACAATGAGGAATGAGCTGAGCTTTTATAGGCTCGTAATACAATGTTTTTAATGTCTAAAACAAGTAGCAAATCGCAAAATTAAATGAGAAACTAGCCGTTGGAAATGAAATGGCAAAATCCGTCGAAATAAGGAAAGTAGCCGTTAGCTTGTATCTTGAAAGCTTGGGGAGAAAGTGGTGCGTCCTGGGAAGTCTCTTGTTCACTAGGAGGGTCTCTAAATCGCACTCAAACAGATGGGGAAAGATTTCTTGCTGGTTGATCTCCTTTGGCTTCAAACAAGGCAAATAAGGCAAGATCGGTTCCGGATATGGAAAGTAAAGGTGTGTGAGGATCCGCCTGATCCTATGTGTCTTGGTGCACCTTAGAGTGTTTTAGGGAGCTTCTAGAAGTATCTTAAAGTCTCCTGGGCGCCAATGGTACGTTTGGAGTCTCCTAAACCCGAAAGGTTCCAAATAAGGCAAGTGTAGGCTCCTTCGGTTTAGAAAATTAATATCTCTCAAACCAAAATTGGTATTGACTTGATTCCAACTCTCTGTGGTTTTCTGATGAGTTAAGATTGTATGAAAATTCACTTCGTAACTTAACTCCTTCTGGTCGGGTCGGAATCCTCCAATGACTCTGTGTATGTCCAAATCGGGCAAGCTGGGAATCACCCGACTTGTAAATTGAATAACTCGTTCGTGTGAACTTCTTTTGGGCTGATTCTTCTTCGAGGTGCTCGGTAATTGAGCTGAGAATGTATTCCAAGTGATCTCTGGGCAGGAGGAATTGATCTTTGCCTTCGTCTGGACTGAACAAGGCTCAGGGGTCTTCTCGGATAGGCTGAATCTGCTTTGGCCCGAAGTTGTAGATAAAACTTTGTTTAAAATCCCACTTGGCTGCTCCTGGGTTGTTTTTTCTCGCCCGTAATCTTCTCCATGGTTGGTTCTTGGGTTGATGACCGCATCAGAACCTCTAACGATTAAACAATGTTTCTTGCTGGGGAAGTTGTATGAGAAAGCACACCCACCACATAAGACAACAGCAACACAATGGTCAAACACTAGAAATACTGGTTCCCATAATGTTTAGCGTCCTATAACAAATGTTAAGAAGGAGTCTTCTCCTCCTTCTGCTGAGCAGGTGAGTAACAGTAATGATTTCAGAAAACCTGCAAGGAAGTTCTTGTCACAAGAAGAGATGAGCGCAAGAAGGGCTAAAGGATTATGTTACCTTTGTGATGAAAAGTACACTCCGGATCACTATTTAAAACACAAGAAAACTCAAATCTATATGATCGAAGTGGAGGAAGAAGGGGAAGATGACACTGGGGAGACCAAAGATGGGGAGTTGCAGGTTGTGGCATATGAGGAACAATGCAAGCCCTAGGTTTCTGTTAGTGCTGTCAATGGAGTGGCTGACTATTCAACAATGAAAGTCAGAGGATTACATGCTAAAAAGCCGGTGTTTGTTCTGTTGGATTCAGGGTCCACTCACAATTTCATGGATCCTAGAACAGCAGCAACTTTAGGCATTGAACATAGACCTGCAGGTGCTACTAAAGTGTCTGTAGCTGATGGAAGTAAACTAGGAGTATTAGGGCTGGTGGATAAATTTAAATGGGAGTTTCATGGTGTTCCTTTTCAGGCTGACTTCATGATCATATCACTCGGGGGATGTGATGTGGTTTTGGGGGTGCAGTGGCTGGAAATACTAGGTGACATCACATGGAACTTAAAGAAGTTTGAATTCAGTTTTATGTGGGGACATAAAAGGGTTCTACTTCATGGTATCAAGCAAGGCTCTGTTCGTGAAGTTAAAACTCTCAAGTTCTATAAGGCTCAGGAAGATCAAGTTCAAATATCCATGATCTGTGCACACACCGTGATGGATGTTAACAATGGGTCTGTAGGTGCATTGGAGGTTACTTCCGGGTTTAAAGACATTGTGCCAGAAATAACAAGACTTAAAGACTCCTTTGGTGCCATATTTGCAGAACCTACTGCTCTACCACCTTTTCGAGCAAACCACAATCACAAGATACCACTAAAAGAAGGTTCTGATCCTATCAATCAAAGACCTTACAGGTATGCAGTTTACCAAAAAGACGAGATCGATAGGATTGTTGAAGACATGTTAGAGAAAGGGACTATTCAGGCAAGTTCTAGTCCTTATGCCTCTCCAGTTTTATTGGTTAAGAAAAAGGATGGAACATGGAGATTGTGCGTTGATTACATGGGATTGAATAATTTAACCATCAAGGATAGATTTCCTATCCCTCTGATAGAAGATTTAATGGATGAGTTGGGAGGGTCTACAGTGTTTTCTAAAATTGATCTCAGAGCAGGATATCATCAAGTGCGTATGGAGCCAGAGGATATTCATAAAACGGCTTTCAAGACTCATAGTGGTCATTATGAGTACATTTTCATGCCCTTTGGTTTGATAAACGCAACAGCAACATTTCAAGGGTTAATGAATGCGGTTTTCAAAGAGTTTCTACGCAAGTTTGTGCTAATATTCTTCGATGACATATTGATTTACAGCCCTACAATGGAAGAACACATTAAACATTTGGCTCATGTGTTTCAGAAAATGAGAGAGTATAGTTTATATGCTAAGGAAAGCAAATGTGCATTTGCCATATCTAGAGTGGAGTATTTGGGTCATTATATTGAAGCAGGAGGAGTATCTACAGACCCTACTAAGGTTACTGCAGTAGCAGAATGGCCTATTCCTACTACATTAAAACAATAACTCAGAGGTTTCTTGGGTTTAGCAGGTTACTACAGGAGGTTTGTTAAAAACTTTGGCACCATAGCAAGACCTTTAACACTTTTAACAAAGAAGGAGGCATTTATGTGGTCTCATGAAGCTCTGGAGTCTTTCAACTTACTAAAGAAAGCTTTGTGTGAAGCACCTGTTTTGGCCTTACCTCTATTTGATAAACCATTTCTTGTGGAGACTGATGCTTGTACTCAGGGTATTGGGGCAGTACTGATGCAAGAAGGCCATCCTATTGCCTATATCAGCCGTCACTTGAAAGGGAAGCAATTGAATCTTTCCATTTATGAGAAAGAACTGCTTGCGGTGGTCTTTGCAGTGCAGAAATGGCGTCATTACTTATTGCCACATCACTTTATCATTAAAACAGACCAGCGCAGCCTCAAATATATGTTGGAGCAGCGATTGAATACTCCTATTCAACAGCAATGGTTACCTAAGCTGCTTGAATTCGATTACGAAATACAATATCGCCAAGGCAAAGAAAATATCGCAGCTGATGCTTTGTCCCGTGTAGATGGGAGCGAGGTGTTGCATATGGCTATGTTTGTCTTAGAGTGTGATCTCTTAAAAGACATTCAAGCTCATTATGCTACAGACTGTGAGTTGCAAAAGGTGATTGAGGATTTAGAGAAAGATCCTAAAGCTAAGAAACATTATTCTTGGGTACAATCTATTTTAAGGAGGAAGAGTAAGATTGTAGTGCCTCAAGATATACAACTGAGAAACAAAATTTTACAATGGATGCATTGTTCTGGTACTGGAGGTCATTCGGGTAGAGATGCCACTTTTCACAGAGTTAAGAGCCTCTTTTATTGGAAAGGTATGGCTGTGGATATTCAACACTACATCAGAAGCTGCAGTGTCTGTCAACAATGTAAGTATGACACTTCAGCTTATCCTGGTCTATTACAACCTCTCCCTATTCCTGAAGCTATATGGACTGATCTCTCCATGGATTTCATTGACGGTCTTCCTCTTTCTTCGGGTAAATCGGTTATTCTGGTGGTGGTTGACAGGCTGACTAAAGTAGCCCATTTCATTGGTCTTTCACATCCGTATACGGCTGTCTCTGTGGCTCAGGCATTCCTTGACAATGTTTTTAAACTCCATGGGTGTCCAAGATCAATAGTGAGTGACAGGGATACGGTTTTCTTGAGCAATTTTTGGACTGAGCTATTTACTCTCCAAGGAGTTGATTTGAAAATGTCTACAGCTTATCACCCTCAAAGCGATGGGCAAACTGAAGTAGTGAACCGTTGCTTGGAAACTTATTTAAGGTGCATGTGCAGTGATAGACCTCATCTCTGGAGTAATTGGTTGGCTCTTGCGGAATTCTGGTACAATACTAATTTTCACACCTCTACTCACATGACTCCTTTTGAAGCAGTTTATGGTCAGGCTCCTCCCATTCACCTTCCATACTTACCAGGCGAATCTAAAGTAGCAGTGGTTGCCCGGAGTTTGGAAGAGCGTGAGCAGATGATCCTTATTCTCAAGTTCCATTTGTTGAGGGCGCAACATCGTATGAAGCAGGCTGCAGATCTACATCGGACAGAAAGGAGTTTTGATATTGGTGATTCAGTTTTTCTCAAGCTCCAACCCTACAGACAAGGTTCTGTAGTCATGCGTCCCAATCAGAAACTTGCTCCAAAGTATTATGGGCCATATAAAGTGATAGATCGGTGTGGTAAGGTCGCTTACAAGCTACTGCTTCCAACAGGTTCTCTTATTCACCCTGTTTTTCACGTCTCTCAACTTAAAGCAGTAGTTGGTAAGTGCACACATCATCTCAGCTACCATCCATTGTCTCCGATGTGTTACTCAAAGAACCAG